ACACACATTTTCCTGACAGGTCCAATCTGACTTTTAATTGTCAATTTAAACTTTTAAATACTTTTAATATAAAGAAGGGCCATGCAGAGATCCTGCCACAAAATATGCAACAGTAATAAAGCATGCAGTGTATCCTATATTAAAGACAGGGAGTGCAATACAAATGTACTGCATCTCCCGCATTACTGTCACTACACTTTTAACTGTCCCCTACAAGAAGGAAGTGCCCTATCAGAGAATCTGAAGACTGAAAGTACATGAAACATCTTAATACACAAAATACAATTTCCCAAAACAGATATCCAATCTTTGAGGGAGCCGAACATCGACTTGGTCCTTGCACTGAAAGTTAGTTTGCTGCCTGACACTGCTGACACCTGTCCCAGCACTGGAAGCTCTCTGCTCTCAGCACCAGACCTCAGACAGACACTTTATGAAATAGAGGAAACAGACGTGAGCCGACTTACCGTACAGCTTGTTTGGAGTGCCCTCTCTGTCCGTGGCCTCGGAGGGCAGGAGCAGGGGCTCGTCGTTCAGATCGCTGTCTGGGGTGGCCGCTTTGTCGTCCGCCCGGAGTTCTGCTGCGCTCATGTCGCTGCGCAGGGAGAGCAGCGGCTTGCTCAGCTGCCCTGTAATCATCGGGTCCTGGAGGGAGCTGGGAGCCCAGGTGGGAAACAGGGAGGAGAAAAAAAAAGAGAAAACACCCCTGGTTAGATTTGCTTTGGCGTCTCACCCTCACCGGCTCCTTCTCTATGTCTCACTCTCTCTCTACCCAGCTTCTCCTTTCTATCGCTCACTCATCACTCTCCCTCTCTCTCTCTCTCTCTTGCTCCCTCCCTCTCCAGCTCTCTTTTTTATCTGAGGCTGGTGCTACCCCGCTGATACTGCCGGCTGCTGCCTGGTGAAGAACGGTTACGGATCGCGTGGCGTTACCATTATACCCTGCAGTCCTAAAACTGTCCTACATCCATCTCCAAGGGCTCATTACTACCTGACATGTGCCTCATCTTCAGCACACACTAAGCTGACAGCAGTCTGCAAAGAGGTCCACAGGCTGTGCGCTGAGAAACACATGAAATAAATAGAATTCTACATATAAAAAGAAAACATGAGTGGAAATACACACCAGTGATTACATCAATTTGCCTACATTTGGGGACACACAATGAGATCAAAGGTGACATGTTGCAGCAGAGTGTGAGGCAACATGAACTTAAGGCCTGATTTTAACCAGAGATGATATTCCCAAAAATGTCCTCCCAATTATTTTCATTCTTTTGTCAGCACTTAGAAACTAACATGGAGACGGTCTCAATGTCATGATAAGAGCATAATCTGAATGAACATGTTGGAATAAAATAAACTCAGCAAAGAGAAAAAATTAGGAACTTTTGAAATAAAAATAAAAAAAACCTGTGAGAAGAGCATTTTAAGAATGCCATTAAAAGGTTTGAATGCTTTCATCCGGACATTTTACCAAGGAATCTTTTATGATTTCTGAAAATATCCAAAGTTGCTTAAAAGCTGTTGCTCTTACCTAAACAAAGCTCCAGACAAAAAGAGTAAAAAAAAGAGTTTCAGAAAGTCCAAATGTTGACGTCAGGGGACCAGCAGCTAAAACATGCCTCCACAGCGCAGAGAGCAGTACATGTTTCTACTGAACCAGGATCAGCCTCCAACCTGCATGTATCTAAAGAGCCACCACAGGTTCAAGCCTGAGGTTCTTCCAAAGACAGGCACTGGAAATGTCACCTCCTCCCTCCCTCTCTCTCTCCCTCCCTCTCTCTCCCCCTCTCTCTCTCTCTCTCCCTCCCTCACACACACAAACACCCCCCCCCTGTCTCTTCCCCCTTGTGTCCTGAGACTGGAGAGCTCCCTAGACAGTGTTCACCCCACCTCAGGCTCTGAGAGGGACACAAAACAGCAGGACTACGGCCCCTTCCTTATTTATGAATAAAGTCCAACCTAAATATATTTGAGCATGAGACCAGCACACACAGGCACAGTAAGAAAAATAGAGGTCTAATATTGCCCCTGCACTCCCAACACCCCCACCCCCCACTTCTATCAGGGTGGTCGATGAGTCCCTGCCCAGAGGGGATTTTTTAATGTGCTCATCACGGGAATCAGCCCTCCTTGATATGACACATGATAATCTATGAAAATGTTAATCAATAGAAATAGTTTAAGCTGTCGTTAAAAACGTGAGGCGGCTGGTCAATACTCATATCCCTGGTAACAATGTCACTAGTCATCAGCGCTTCATTTGTGGAGCACTTAAATGTGGGACAATGCGCATCAATGCACCTCTCCGCCCGCCGAGGTAAACACATTTTCCCCTCTGTCTGAGCCTGGCCACTCTGCATGCATTTCGACCCCCCCCCTCCACCTCCTTCCTCCTCTCCTTTGAGTTGCTTGATAGGTCCACTGGAGGGCAAAATTAATACCTAATTGAATCTTGCAGTCATCAAAATAATCAATAGTTTTTTATTATTTATTCTTCACAGTCTGTTGACTGTTTGAAAGCTCAGAGGGACAGGGGAGAGCACAGGCAGCTCTGAAATTCCTACCGTTTCACAATGTAATTTTCACTGGGGCATGAGAGTTTGCAAGAGCGATACAAAATGAGAGCATTGGTTTTTGTTAGGGAGGTGAGGAAAAAATAAATAAAGGAAAAATGGGAAGCTTTGCCCCAGCAGCTACGATGAAATATAGAATAAACAAGCTACTGACACTTCAGAGCAGGGCACGGTCCTTTCTGTCCATCCCTCCATCTTTTTCCCTTTCCCCTTTTCTCCTTATTTCATCATATCAGGAGTGTGGCGGTACCTCTCTAATGCTGGCATTTCTCTTCCTGACAGACTCCAAACAAGTGCTGGGAATGAGATCAGAGCTCTAATCTTCCCCTGGCCTCTGAGGCTCGAGGATAAGGGGGCAACACATCTCTCAGCATCGTACGCAGCTGTTAATCACCTCATTTCAAAACAGTTTGCTTTGCCTATTTGCAATCATGCCTCTGGAATGGGTTTGTTTCTCTATTCAAGCGCAGGTAGTAATGTGATTACGCGTAATGGGATAACTGTAATCTTATTGTAAAAATCCGTAATAAAAAGGGATATTTAGAAATTACCATAAGAAATTGCATTACTGATTCTAAGCAGTGGATGTGTAACGGATTAGCTTCATTTTTTAAAGTAACCCTCAGACCTCTGATTAAAGCAATAATGTGAGTTTTTTCCAGTGTGTGTGTGTGTGTGTGTGTGTGTGTGTGTGTGTGTGTGTGTGTGTGTGTGTGTGTTTGGGAGTTGGCGGGAGCAGACATAAGGGAGGTTTGTCTCATTTCTTCTCTGTTCACTCAGTCTGGCCAGAGCTCAGGAACAGGTTGCAGGAACACGAAAAAGCACTCGATCCCCCCTCTGCTTCCCGCAGCAGCCGAATAATCGGTGGCTAGCAGAGAGTCCCGAGCGTCATCAGATACCCATGCTAATAGCTAGTGGTCTTACCAGTGATGTCCCAGTGTGAGGGACACTGTGTGAGGGGTATCAGCCGGAGACCATCACACTCTACTCCAACACTCCAGGCTCCTCTGGTTATTCAAGAAAAAGAAAAAAAAAAACTCAGCTTAATATCGTTTTATCTCTCATACTGTTACATAACAGTGTTCAGCATGCCCAAACAGATATTTTAAGCTGTTAATACATACTAAGTTAGCAGTGACAAAACATTTATATATTTCTCTGTTTTGTACTAAAAGAAAATGTTGCAGTACACTGACTGAAGCACATCATTTACACTGTTGAAGAATTGAATTAAAGCTTCATATTAAATGGACAAATAGAAGTCTGCCGATGTTGTAGTAATAGGTTGGAGATAACAGCAAGGCCACAGAAGTAGCTGAGGACAGTACGGGTGCATACGAGTAAAGCTTTATCATTCATCTTCCAAAAAATGTCTTTTAAAGCTTTTAAAAATGGTATTATCCGATTCTTTACTTTCTCATACAAAACCCAAAGATATTCAATTAACTGATGAGCAATAAAATCAGCAATACATCATCTTGTGCTGTTGAATGAGGTCATTTTTCACTATTTTCTGACAAAATGATTAATCGATTCATTGAAAAAGTAATAGGCAGTTTAATGAGGATGAAAATGATTGCTAGTTGCAGCACTTTAAACCAGAACTCTCTCACAACAATGTTTTTTGTTTGCCAATATCCTCATGTCAACCAGTCTAATTCGTGTACTATTTTTGCAGCTCCAGTATGCTTAGATAGTGGACATTAATTTGTATACTTCATTTTCTTTTATTTCCAGTGACACACTACATATTCTATCCTGCTCAGAATTAGTAGGAAGTTATGAGTTTTCTACTCCTTAATGCCCTGTTGACCCGTCCATTTTCCTGCATAGGCCTAGAGCATGCTGGGAAAGTGCTCAACACATCTGTGACTTGATAAAGCATTTAGATTTTTAAAGTGAGGCTTCAAACTAACCCAAATGTCACCCCATGATGTGAGAGACTTCCCTTTCAGACATCACATGTTCTAATTAACATCCATGTTTTCACATCACGTGTTTCTCTTGATTGTCATGTTTACTAAGCACCACACAAATCGTGTATTGGCTGCAATCCATCTATTCCAGCTTTATTTTTAAACTCATTATCAAAGCTCTAAGTGTCGAAATTGGCTAAAAAACAAATAAATGTCATTAGCTGATTAGTTTTGAGCTGGAAGCTTGTAATGCAATTATTATGACCCGAGTAGTGAAAGGACGCGAATACTGCCAAAATTATTGTCCGAATCATTACTGCAGTAAAATAAGTGAATGTGGCATGTTTTCAGTCGCGCTGTTATTGTTGATCCAGGAATACATTTGAAATTTAAAAAAAAAGGCTTAATGAACTTTGATAATGTCTTTCAAACAGTTTTGCACAAAATATGATTTTATTAGACCATCATGTTGGATTAAAGATGACAAACATGTTGGTGTTTTAAAAATAATTCTACTCAAGTCATAGTAATAAAAAATGTTGTTAAAGAACTTAACACCGAACATTTCATTGTTTGTGTTATCATAATAGCCAAATGTCAAATATATTCCTGATTCACCCATTTTGAATAACTGTGCAGCTCTGCTGTGTTAGGCAAATATCCAAACACTGAAATGTCTAATGTGGTGTGTTAGACGATGATTTGTCTCCCCCTTAGGGTTATTAACCAAACTGTTCCCCTCCATTATGTTAAGTGAGTCTTTACGTAGTTTCCCTGAAGCCCCTAATGCATGTAAATATATATTAATGATGTGTATAATTTCTGTGAGTTAATCATGAAAAATACAGCAGGTTTACATTATTTTACCTGAACTAATATACTATCTATGAATACACTTTTTGGACTAGCACGCCAGGAGTTTAGTTAGATTTGAGGTGATTTTTTCACACCCATTAATATGATGAGCAGTTATTCCTCTCTACTCCACTAAAGCTAAAATGCTCCCCAGTGGATGGTCGGTGGGTCAGTGAAGGCCGAGGGCTATCAAAGCAGTGTATTAAAAGGAGCTCTTTGAAGCTTGTAAACCACGGTGCCCAGCAGGGCCACAACAGATAGACGGCTCTGATTGGTCAGGTGTGTGTGTGTGTGTGTTTTGCTAAATCGATCCACGGCGCTGACATTCTGGAGCATCAAAGCTTTCAGCACACTAATCCAACTCCTCCTATGAGGGCAAGGGTTGTTTAAAAAAAATAAAAAAATCTATGAAATGCTTAAACATCAAGGGATTTTTACCTGCATGCTTATGATACGAGAGTGGGCGAATAATGTTTATAAAGGTTTGAAAGGGAATAAAATCGTATTGAAATCAAGCTTGGACAGTGTATTTATCAGCGGATAAATAATGCAGCACTATAGAGAGCAGCAGAGAATCATAGGGCCATTCATGGGGCATGGCAGTGGCGGCAGAGGAGTGACACCGCAGAGATTCACACACCGCTGCTTCTCAATGTCAGTTTCCCCTCACACTGTCTCTGGAGACCTGCGCCACATACACACTCATGAAAGGTGTGAAAATCTGATTTCCCAAAAAGGATCGGTAATTCTCTGCGAGGGTGGAAGCCGCAATCAATAAATCATTGCTAAGTAGATTGTAAAGAAAAAAAAAATTATTCCCCCTTGGTATCAGTGCATTAGGATTCTCCTGAGGATGGATGAGGCGAGATGGGGGTGTGAGACAATCTCAATAAAGAAGGGGCAAATCATACCTTTGGCATTCATCTGGACTCTGACAAGCAGCTGTCAGCAGGCTGAAGAAGGACCAGGGGAGGCGACTCATATCTGAGGGACTCATTTGGCCATCAAGTCCAGGAATGTCTGGAAAATATACAAAACTAATAAGCTAATTGACTGTCTTTGGAACATGCATGATCACAGCCTTCTACATCTATAATATTACAAATATTAGAATGCAGAGTTTATTCCCTCGATAACAGCGACATATAAGGAAAATCTGCAGTCCCGTTCCAGTGTACCTAGGCATATTCAAGTGCTTTACTGTATAATGTGATGTATAAGTTGCATTTTATACAACTTCATTCATCTACTTGTACTCATACCAAAACACATAATCAGTTTGTAGATTAAAAAACATGATGCATGTTTCTATACAACAAACACATATATAATAACAATACCATCTGTGAGGTATACAACAATTTAAAGTTATTTTTTGGAATATGTGTCAGTAGATGTACTCATTCCTCACATTTTACAGCAATACATGTATACTATGCAATACACTGTGTACAAATACTCCATTACAAATGTAAGTCCTGAATTTAAACTCCTCTGAGAAACCATTAACAGTACAATTAAACATACTTAATATGCATAAGAATTACCCATGACGTTGTTGAATGTGGAAATAGTGTTTTAATGAGATATTTGCAAAAGAAAAAGTAGTACCATAATGAAAAAACTTAATGAAACTAACTTTACTACAAAAATAGCTACTTCGAAATGTTGTATCCTCGTTGGAAAAGTTTGGAGAGCGTACATTAAGCTAGCAGTCATTTATTGAATTTGGCACAATAAAATAGTTGAAATAGCTGTAATAAAACCTCTATAATATGATGTGTGGTTAATAACCTATCAGTTGCAGGCGCAGTTTAATACTTTGAAAGTTTAAGATCTTAAACTTATCCCACAGACAATATAAGCCAACAGACACGTTTCCAGAATTGTGCTAGTTAACTGCTCAACCAAAAATAAAAATGATTAAAAGAAGGCAATAACTTTGTTAAAAAGGAAGGAATGCTTATGGAAAATACATATACCACGTTAAAAACACATTAAAACACACACCTGTCGTTAATTAGTGTCACTCACCTCCTCTGCTATCGACGATTGACGTCAAACAGAACAACTTCAATACCCATAATGCTTCACGGCTTTGTGTCTGTCATGTGATTTTCCTTATGACAGAGGGAGCAGGCTTCCACAACAAACATCACTTTGTTGTAGGCTATAGTGGATATGTTTGACATTAAGCTAACCTAATTGAGGTTTTGTGGACTTAACATGTGTTCTCTGACAACGTATTGAGACTTTATTAATATTCTGTTTGGATATATAGCTCATAACGATGGCGGAAGTGGAGCAGGTAAGCCCATCATGCTAACGCTAGCTTGCTAATGTTGATGTTTTATACGTGTATGCATGAACATAAATAGGAATTGTGATCGGAGACAAATGTCAGCTACACTTTGCTTTTATTTAGCTCGTTTTCTGGCTGTTTCTATGTTGTAAAAAGGGTACATTTGTCGTTTGATAGCGTTACATTGATTTGATATGTTGCCTTTTTCTAATTAATATATGGCTGTAATGCGCTGCTTAATTTCGTTTTGAGTACAGTTGTATTCTAATGTACTCTCAAATCAAATTAGACTTTTACTGTATGATTTGCTGCTTTAATATAATAACACAATCCTAATGTTTCTTCATCCAGGGCAGGAAACAAAGTGAGGAATTCACAGATGAGTCTGAGGTAAGAAACGTCACTTTCAACCATTTCCTTTCCTTACAAAAAAAAAAGAAAAAGAGTGAGAGGGGTTCAATATAATATTAGTGGTAAGAGGGCAAAAAAAAGCAACCCTAAAAATGTCATGCAGTTGCACCAGTATGTCAATGTAGAAATGCATCAAGAGCAGCATATCGTCAATGACAGGGGTGTGCATAGTTCTGTCAAGCATGGGTGATTTTTGAACTCAACTAAAGCTTGCTGCCTGCTGAAAGGACTGCAATACATAGCCAGCCTTTATCAACCCAGCTTGATCCCGTACGGATCATTGTCAGGTTTTGAGAGGTGTCAAACACTCATGAATTACATATAGCCCTCCAGATCCATCAATATTATGACTGAGCTTTGGCATGTTACAGTACACTTGTGCTTCTGAAAATCACAAGTAGGCTAAATAAAATATAGCTTTATACATCAGCCTAGCAGGAAGGGGGGTGTCTTTATGGGAAGCAGAGAATTGAATGAAATATCAAGCAAGGGCTTGCAGAAGATAACAGTTAGGAGAGAGTAAAAGGAAATGGAAAGAGCATCTGAGTTTAGTGCTGTAGAACTAAGTATTAAGGACTGTGGGGTTCTGGCTCTCCTCCAAGTAGCGGCACACAGCTGATTGCTTACTAAATACTTCAAAATAATGACGCTTGCTGTTGTCTGATGCTGCTGTACTTGGATTCAAAGCAGGGCTTGTATGCTCAATATAATGCTAATTACAGAGCAAAATTAGCAAGATAACAATTTGTTCTTAAAAGGAAATTACAACTCCTGACCACCTTTGCAATTGAGCCAGAATTGTCTGAATTTTTTTAACATGCACACCAATCAGCCTGGTTGGTGTTACTCTTGTTTTGATGCCTCACATTGTCAAGGTAATAGCATTCATTGTCTCTTTGGACGGAGTACAGTGGATCAAACCCTTAGCAGCAGATGACACATACAAATACTACATTGACTTATTGCTCATTTTGTCCCTAACTTAAGCAGTGAAACAAACATAATCAGGTTTACTTTGCAAATGTATACTGGAGAGTTTGGAGAATCAGGAAGAATGTACCTAATCAGAGTTTTATTATGTGTTTTAGATTTTCGCATTTAGTTCATTTAATGTGTTTTTAATGTGTTATCTGTTTTATTAAACACAATGTGTAACTTTGCTATGAAAGGTGTGTAGTATTCTTTTATTTTCAATTTTTTTGAAACCTATATATTGTAAGTGTACCAGTCATGCTGGGTTGGAAGTTGTGGATTTCTTTCTTTCCTAATATTTAGGAAGGTATGTCCTCCTGGTCTGCCTTAATGTACATCTTGTTTGGTCCTTGTGTATTTTAAAAATGTTTATATGGACCCAATGATGATACAGCTTGTTGTATCTCAACTTCCAAAAGGCAAAACATATGGCTGAAATGGTCTGTAGTTGACTGAAAAAATGTCTATATGTTCCTAAAATGCACAAAATGTGGTAGGCAAATGTTGGTGTCTTAGGTAGATTTTAAGATGACAAAAGCCTCCAGAACAGCAGTATCAAATATGTTTCCCTAAATCTGTGTTTGAGATAATATCAGGTCACTGTTAAGGGCATAGCGTAAGATTCCCATTATTTTACCTGCATTTTTCAAGTGTCTTTACTCATTTATTTAGATTTTGCCTAATATTCAGACAGAAAAACATGGGGAGCTGATACTATTTTAAAGATTGTTTCTTTTCTCATGCTGAAGGTATATGAGTTATGTAGTCTTCATTGTGTATTTGAAAGCAGTATCGTATCCTTATTGTAGAAAGACATTTTGCCAGTTGACGAAACAAAAGGCAACTTACAGGAGATGGTAGAAGTTTGAAGATTTGTAGGTTTTTTTTTTCTCTGAGGATGAAGTTTGCCTTTGTTGTTTGATACACCTTTGAAAGCTGTGACAAATGCCCCCGCATCAGAAATCTCACAACCAGAATACACAGGAAATAGCCTGGATATGGCGTTGTTGAGTGGGAAAGGATTGTTTTTGAAAATAACATTTTTTCCACGCTCTCGGCCCCCACCTCCAACCCAGTAGCACATAATGGCAGACAATGTTCTGAGTTGATGCACCCTGTGGGCAGCCACACACTGTGCAGCATTGGTTATAAACTGAATTATGGGTAATATTAAGGCTGTGACTGGCCGCAAAGGCTGGCTCCGGCTGGGAAGTGTAACACAGTAGAATACCTTAATGTTTGCTTTATGAAATGACTAAATTCATGTATGTCACTAGGGATGAATGGTCTCATGAAAAATGGGGTTATCCTGCATTTCACGCAAGGCCCGGTAATGCAAGTGTGTCTTTGTGCATATATCTCCTGAAACACAAGACATATGAACTTCAAAAAGGCCAGAATCCATGTAGGTATTGCTTACTATATAAGAATGTAGAGCAGGTTTATTATTTCAGTCATTTTAAAATGCATGTTCCATGGTTCAAATTCTCAAATGTGAGGATTTGATGAGCAACTATAAGCACAGTAGCATTATTATTTCCTGATATTTTATGCACAAAGCGTTTGATCAAGAACAAAATTAAAAGATTAATAAACAAGTTTAGTTTCAGCCCTAAATGGAGGGGATGGTTTTTCAAGTTTAATAAAGACAAATGCAGTCTACATTTTATCATCTTTCTGAGTGTTTGCAAAAACTGGCTAATTTCAAGCCAATATAATCAGCAAAACGATATCATTATGTAGGAATGAGTGATGATGTGTTTGACGAGGCTATTTCTTTATTACATTGTGATAAGTTGGAAGTGTATCGGTATGAATTATATTGCCAAATGTATACTTCTAGGCAAAATGTAAAAACAAACAATATTTCAAGTCATGTCAATTGTTTTTGTGGCCAATAAATCACAAATGTACCTTAGGTGCTTTGAATTGTTAAGTTTTTTGGTTTTATACTTTGTCTGATGGACACAAATAATTAATTTGAAGATGAAGACTTGTGGTGAAAATGCATTGCTTAAAGACCTGTTTCCACCCCTTTGTTGAACTTATTCTCACTTGTTTCAGAACAGTTTAGATTTGAATACAGAATTGTTCTGACTTGTGGCGGACAATTTGTTATATTTTAGTTTCTAGGTTTTTTGTCAATGGCTTTTGTCGAAGAACATTGTCAACTACAGTGTTTGTTGGAGGACACTGTGATGTTTTACCCAGAGCTTATCTTACTTTCCCCACCAGGAGGAGGACAGCGAGGAGGAGCCCAAGCTGAAGTACGAGAGG